GAGTGGTACTCATTCATACAGCTCGGAAGAAAGCCATGTGACTCAACCGGGGCTTGAGCCTGGGCCCTTTTGGTTCAGAGTCCAACGCTCTACCGACTGAGAAACATCGTTCTGAAGGTCTGAAACAAAGTATAGTAAACTTTTTGACCAAGGGAATTCGTTGTTACGCCTAAGACTGTCTTCTGACGGAGTTGAACACACGCACGCACCCATCAGAAGGGCCGCTTTCTGATCAGCACTGCCTCATTACTAGGGCATTTAGACGCTGATAACAAGCCTTCGCAGCTGCAAAGAATATATTCCATCGTAAATCGCCGAAAAATGTAAACCGTTACTTTGGCCCTCGCCCCCTTTACGCGACGTATACGCCGAGGAAGACTTTTTGAAAAGGGCAAAAGACAGCCATATCTCACATAACACCACACCTTTCGAAAATCTGTTCATGTCTTAATCAGTGCCGTGTCTCAGTTGTTAGGAGAATTGTAGTCACAGTTTGTACGTCCAACATCTCTTCAAAACCAGTAGAAAATATCTGTTACAATCGATCTCTTCTGCCGACTCCAACCCTGCCCGCAACGTACAAGGCTCCAGTTTGAAAAAGAAGCGAGAAAGTCTTCTGGCTATAAACGTTCGAACCGATGAGAACGACAAAAAAGACTTCTAAAGCGAATCCATTTCTCTAGCTTGAAGTAGACCAGCAAACATGGGCCGAAACGTCGGTATTAGTCAATCATCCAATTGACCAAGTTGTTGCGCTGTGTCTAAATGAACTGTGTATTATGCTGTTTTCAATAGGACCACTAATACTCAAACCAAATACTCAACCTTAGACTTTCAACAATTCATAAACACTCATCCTCGTCTATCCATGAATGTCGTTTCGTCTCACTTTTATGATACAACAATATCAAGCCATCGGCTGAAATCAAGAATGACAGATCATATTTTGAGCATTTATCCACGTCCCCATCTCTTTTAGCATTTAGCCATAACTCTCTCGGCGGCTTCAGCTGTTCTCCTCAACCTGCAGTAATTTACTGAAGCACATACACTATGCATCTTTGCTACGCCACCGACTGCTTACTATGCTATTTGTTCAAGCCAATATATTTTGAAGAAGAACTGTAAATAAACTAAACCCAATAAAGGGGCGAAACGCGGATTTTTTGCGGCAACTGCGCACTAGCTGTCGGAAAAGAATGACTCCTTCTTTTACAGATATAGCAAAGGAAACCTGTCAAACCCATTCAAAACGAAACAACTCCACATCGTCACATGATACAATGCAGTGCTTCGTGGTGCATGAGCTACTGGTAAGTTACTCCGTTGTCATTCCAAGGAAGTGATCCGAAAATTCGAAACTATCGTATAATCGATAACGTTCTTCAATACCTAAACTTCCTCGTCCTCGTATAATCTTAATAGCAAACAACGAATAGCACTAGCATGTTTATCAGATATGCATCCTGTTCATAAACAACCATCACAGCGGAACATTTGAAACGGTGCACTAGCGACATCTAGTACCTATTTATCAGGCGCAGCATCGCCAGATCTTTGTCTTCGACTGTCGTCTCTTGATATCTACC